TTCCCCTCTCGACTTGCAACTTCAAAGAAGAATATGGAGGAGAAAGAGATTTTGGACACCTTCCGAAAGGTGGAAGTAAACATCCCTCTACTTGATGCAATCAAGCAAATCCCGAGATATGCAAAGTTCTTGAAAGAACTTTGTACCAACAAGAGGAAGTTGAAGGGAAATGAGAAAATTTTGATGAACGAAAACGCATCCGCGGTTTTACAAAGGAAACTTCCACCCAAATGCAAAGATCCCGGAATGTTCACGGTTCCTTGCAAGATTGGAGATGTCACTTTTAGTAGTGCTATGCTTGATCTTGGTGCTTCTATCAATGTCATGCCCTATTCAGTGTATGAATCATTAAATGTCGGACCCTTAAGTGAAACCGGTGTCATAATCTCTCTTGCGGATAAATCAAGTGTCTTTCCTAGAGGTGTTTTAGAAGATGTCCTAGTGCAAGTGAACCAATTAGTCTTCCCGGCGGATTTCTATGTGATTGATCTAGATGAGCAAGTGTCTTCCAAATCGGCTCTAATCTTGCTTGGGAGACCGTTTTTGAAGACGGCTAGGACAAAGATCGATGTGTATGCGGGAAGTTTGACAATGGAGTTTGATGGTGAAACAATAAGTTTTAATATTTATGATGCCATGAGATATCCTAGTGATGTTTCATCTTTGTACTTTGTTGATGTTGTTGAGCCAATTACTCAAGAATTGTTTGAGTTATCTAACGGTGATATGTTGGAGATGATCTTAAGCAAAGGATTCGATTGTGGGAAGCTAGCCGAGCAATTAAAGTTTTATTCTTTGGATCCGGAAGTTGAGAAGTTGGTAAATAAAATGGAAATGAAAAAATCCACAAGATTAGATGTCAAGCAAATTGAATTGTCCCAAACTCATACAAAATTGTCTCCATCCCTTGTTCAACCACCCGAATTGGAATTAAAGGTCTTACCTCAACACTTGAAGTATGCCTACTTGGGAAAGAATGAAACCCTTCCGGTTATCATCTCAACTCATTTAACCGAATTTGAAGAAGAGCAACTCCTCAAGGTGTTGAAGGAGCATAAAGAAGCCATGGGTTGGACGATTGCGGATATCAAGGGTTTGAGCCCCTCCACTTGTATGCACAAGATCTTAATGGAGGATGAATGCAAGCCAAGTAGAGACGCGCAAAGAAGGCTAAATCCACCAATGATGGAAGTCGTGAAGAAAGAGATATTAAAGCTTCTTGATGCGGGGATGATCTATCCAATCTCGGATAGCAAGTGGGTGAGTCCGGTGCAAGTCGTTCCAAAGAAGACGGGAATCACGGTGGTCGAGAACAACAAAGGTATGATGGTCCCACCCGTGTGCAAAACGGGTGGAGAGTATGTATTGACTACCGCAAACTCAATGCGAGCACACGAAAAGATCATTTCCCATTGCCTTTCATTGACCAAATGTTAGAAAGGTTGGCCGGGAAATCCCATTATTGTTGTCTAGACGGGTACTCTGGTTTTCACCAAATCCCGGTGGCACCGGAGGACCAAGAAAAGACAACATTTACATGCCCATTTGGTACTTTTGCATACCGGAGAATGCCATTTGGATTGTGTAACGCCCCGGCCACTTTCCAACGTTGTATGGTTAGTATCTTTTCGGATTATGTTGAAAACATAATTGAGGTTTTTATGGATGATTTCACGGTACATGGCAACTCTTTTCAAGAATGTTTGACTAATCTCACAAAAATTTTAAAAAGATGCATTGAAACAAACTTGGTTTTGAATTTTGAGAAATGTCATTTCATGGTGAGTCAAGGTCTCATTTTGGGTCACATTGTGTCTAAAAAAGGAATTGAGGTAGATAAGGCAAAATTGATGTTATTCAAAGCTTACCTTACCCGACTTGTGTTCGGGAAGTTCGTTCTTTTCTGGGCCATGCAGGTTTCTACCGAAGTTCATCAAGGATTTTTCAAAGATAACAAGACCAATGTGCCAACTCTTGCAAAAGGAGGTCGATTTCGAGTTCAATGAGGCGTGCAAAGAAGCTTTTGACAAGCTCAAAGAGTTGCTTACATCCGCTCCCATCATGCAAGCACCAAATTGGGATCTCCCTTTTGAGATCATGTGTGATGCAAGCAACTATGCGATTGGCGCCGTTTTGGGTCAAAAGAATGGGAGGGCCTCCCATGTGATCTATTATGCATCAAGGACACTAGACAATGCCCAAAGCAACTACTCTACCACGGAGAAGGAGCTATTGGCCATAGTGTTCGCCTTGGAGAAATTTAGACAATACCTACTTGGTACCAAGGTCATAGTGTATTCGGATCACGCAGCTCTTAAGTACTTGATGAAGAAGAAAGATTGCAAAGCCGAGACTCATCCGTGTGATCCTACTGTTACAAGAATTTGACTTGGAAATCCGGGATAAGAGCGGATGCGAGAACCTCGTTGCCGATCATCTAAGTCGATCATTTCAAATGAAACTCCTCTCCCATTGCGGGACGAGTTTCCGGATGAGCATCTCTTTTCCCTTACCAATCTATTCCTTGGTATGCCGATATCGTTAACTTTTTGGTCACAAAAAGGTATCCCGACACATTT